GGTATGACCCAAGCCGAGTTACCGGAGATTGCCGGAGATGCTCCGAGGAGGCCGAGTTCGCACTCAACATGAGGTCCGAGAGCAAAGGTGTAAGTTAAGTGCTGAATGCTATTGGGAGTGACCCCGAGTCCCGTCGCACGTCCGTCCACTCAATAAAATATGGAATGAATTTTAGAGTCCGTACTGTTCGGGGTCGCATGCGCACATCAAATAAACGCACCCTTTGATTCGAGACAGACGCTTCACTGAAGTAAAAGCCTCGCTTGTTGAAACACTCTTTCTCCCCTCGGCACTGTTGAAACTTGAGACGGATCATTTTTTTGGCGCCAACTTGAGATCGAGTGCTTAGTGTATTGTTTCAACAGCGGGCACAAGTGACAATGGGCGTGGGCGATCTCCATTGATCAAGAAGGGCTTTCCTTACCCTCATCTAGTGCAAATAAATAGAACGGATTTGAGTGGTGCCAGGCTGGAAAAATTATTCAGTCATCATACAGGCCCCCAGGTGGACTCGAACCCGCTCTACCCCCGTATTGTTTCCAATTGCTGGCACATTGGATAAGTGAAAGTGCCGATTCGCTACGCGTGAAACGGAGACGTCGGATTTCTAGATCTGCCACACACGGAGAGATCTGAAATACGGGTGTGGAGGAAGAATCATAGGTTCTGCCGCTCGGCCGCTCGGGGCGCTGAAGCTTGGATAGTTTGAGGATGACTTGCACTTCAATTCACCCTCGTTTTTAGATAATTTGGATCTGTCTCCCCTCCCATTCGACACCCGAATTGAATGTCCTCCCATATCGAACACCCGAGCACTGGCACTCCAGGGAGAAGGTAGAGATAAAACTGCCAGACCTTTACATCCTGGAACCCGAGACTACGTGTCCGATGTGTCTGATTCTCAAACTCCATTCATGGAGGAAGGCGCACGTTAGGGCACCCATGCGGGGAGAGATTTGCGGCATAGGCGCCCTGAGTGAGCCTTGGGCGGCATCTAATGCGACGCTACCTGATAATTTAATTGCGATTTGGAGCTGAACATGACGGCGTGTATGCAGCGGTTGTAAAGACAATATCACTCCCACTCCCACTCTTACCGCTAGACTCCTCCTCACACGGCGCACGCGGAATGTCCAAGGTTTCTGGGGAGTCGTCGCGGCGGCGAAGAGCGGTGATGCGCTCGGGATGTGCAGGTCCGACACGCCGAGGCGGCGCATTGCCTTTACGTTTTGGTCTTATTGTGTGGGGTTCACCTCTTCAGCAACCTCCTCTGCGATTGCGGCCAGCGAGACGTTGCTTTTGCGATTGTGGGAGGACACGGAGCGGTTCGTTGTGGATGCTATCCGCAAGGGCGCAAAACGAAAGTGCGCTTGCCTGTGTATTCGAAGCCGGAACCAACTGATTGAACCAAGGTTGAACGACTTGCATTGAAATTGCATCTGACTATCCGGGTATGCGGCTCGATACTGGCGGAGGTACGTGAAACTCCCGGCGGATATTCATCCGCTCACCAAGGGTTCGCCCACACTGATTCAGCATTCGGCGAAATGTTACATCGGCATAGCATCGCTTGAGAGCCAGAGGATTATTGATCGTTTGATCAACGTAATACCGCTGACGTCCCGGCTAAAACGCCAGTGCCAGCCAGCCAGTACATAACTTCTCATACTTAAAATTACTTTCTGCTCTGACTTGCAACCCAATCTTTATAGATCCCACAGTATGTCCAAGTTTCATTCGCTTGGGAATATATACTCAGCTGGCATCGGACAGCCTGCACCATGTCCACACGCCAGAATTACATCGAGAAAGTCGCCATAGTCGGGGTAAGTTCTAATCGATCTAATCTTTGCAGCCGCTCACGTTTTCCTAGGCGGCCGGCCAGGTGAGCAGCTTCATCGTCGAGGCGTTGCTGAAGGGTGGAAAACACCGCATCACCGCTATAACCCGCGCCGACAGCACGTCGAAGCTTCCCGCCGGTGTCGAGGTCAAGAAAGTCGACTACGAGGATCCCGCCTCGCTCGTAGAAGCCCTCCGCGGCCAGGATGCTCTGATTATCACCATGAGCGTCATGTCCCCACCCGGCCAATCCGCCAAGCTCATCGAAGCAGCCGCTACTGCCAACGTCCCGTGGGTCCTGCCCAACGAGTACAGCAGCGACCCTACCGAGACAGAGATGCAGAACGATATCATCGTCGGCGCCGCCAAGAAAGCTGACCGCGACCTCATCGAAAAGCTCGGGAAGAGCTCCTGGGTCGGCATCACCTGCAGCTTCTGGTACGAATTCAGCCTCGGCGGCGGCCCCTCTTTATACGGTTTCGACTTTAAGAACCGCTCCGTCACGTTCTTCGGCGACGGCAACCAGAAGGTCAACGCTAGCACTTGGCCCCAGACCGGTCTCGCGGTCGCGCGTCTTCTCAGCCTCAAGGTGTCCCCTGACGATGCCAACGACACCAGCGCCACCCTGTCGCAGTTCCGCAACAAAACCCTCTACGTCTCGTCCTTCTTGCTCAGCCAGAAGGACATGTTTGCCTCCGTTCTGCGGGTGACGGGCACGAAGGAGAGCGATTGGAAGATTGAACATGAGGCGCACGAAACGCGATACGCTGCGGGGCTGGCGCAGGTTAAGGGGGGAGATAGGCGTGCGTTCCCAAAGGTGCTTTACACGAGGGTATTCTACCCGGACGGATGCGGGAACTACGAGGCGAGACACGGATTGCACAACGACGTCCTCGAGTTACCAAAGGAGGATCTCGACGCTTTCACTAAGATTGCCGCGAAGAGGGCAGAGGAAGTAGAACAGCACTAGAATGTTCAAGTTGTAAAACGTCCAATAGTGTCTTCTCATCGACCCAGATCTCGCGAACGTGGGAAGCACTGCCCGGCTTGGATACCGGGATTCAAAGGCAGCAGAGAGCCTACAAGATATAAGCGAGGGGATTAGGAACGCTGACAGAACGAAAAACTCGAGCCTGCTCGACTCACACCCGTTAATAAGTTACTCCATCACATCCGCGACGGCATGGGAGTTTGTGCGACGCGCTCTGCGCCGAGATCGTGGGTCACATACACAGAACTGAGACGAAACTTATCCACTACCTGTGTGTCGATATCGTGCGCGATCAGAACCTCTTCTTTGAACTTCCACGGTTGCACTTCGAGGAGCGGGCCATCACACGGCAGGCTTGCCGCCATCAGCATTGATCAACTGATGGTGGAGAGCTGCAAAGATTGACAAACATCGCTTGCGCATTCTCTCCCACGCGGCGACTGCGCTCCTTCCCCGCCCCCGCGCCAATTTCATCCGCCATGTCTAACACCCAGCCACCCCAAATGATCATGACCTCGCCGGTGTTCCGTGCGTTACCTTAGCTGTCCCGCAACGCGACGTCGGCCGACGAGTTTGTCCAGGCTACGCCGTGCTCGTCGTCCTCTGCGTCGTGGTCATCATGGCCGCAGGCGTGTGCTACCGCACCCGCATCTACCAGCGCCGCATGCGTGAATTCGCCGCCGCGAACGGGCCCCGGCACCCTCCCTCTGCTACCCACGACTGGGGCCCCAAGCCGCGCCTCTTCGACGTGTATCTGCACACGCCGAGTGAGAAGCCGGAGGTGGAATGGGACCATATTATGGTGCGTGTCCTCTCTTAACCGTACCGCTGAACATGCTCACCAGGCTCCTGCAGCCGATATCCCTTACGCGAGCGGCGTCGATGGCGCAGACGTCTGTCATGATATGCATGCCCTTCTCTCGCCCGTTCGTCCCACCGGAACCCGTACCCGATGACGAGCGCTACCTGCCAGCTCTCGAGCTTGGACTGTCGGACATCGATCTGCCATCCCTCGATGCGCTGCGCTCAAGTTCCGAGTCGGACGGGGCTGCATCGAAGCAGAAAGGATCCTAGGGTCAGAAAGGAATTGATTGATTCATGGCGATGTACGTTTCACGATACGAAGTTATGATTTAATGTGTACAGATTTGTTTGCTATGAGATGGAATGCAGTTAAGCGCTTTCGGCGCCATATTTCCGACACGACTGGCCTTACGTCTGTCAGGCAACATATTCTTCGTCGGTCGTTCTTGTAAATATGCCATCCAAGCTCCAAGTGCTGAATCACAGTACTCATTGCGGCGCACGTCCCAGTCGGAGTTCCCAGGTGGGTCCAACACCAAATCTGCCTCATCTCGTGCGCCACTGGGATCCCTGTGATACGGCTCGCTCCCGATGAAAATATAGAACATTCTGCGGTGCGGTGTCTGGCTATTAATATGTAACTCTGATCTGTCTCGCAAAGGAGAAGCGCAGGGCGGGTGGGACATATTTCTGCGACGGCGACTGAAACCCACTCTAGCTTCAGGTCGATGGGTGTCTGCCTCATGTTCCTGCCTTCACGACCAGATTGTAAGTCTGGGTCACATAGTCACAGCAAAGCCGTCTGAAATTAAGGGAAGGGAAGGACCGTGTCTCCAACCCCACATACCTTAAAGCACAGTGGACGGATCACCACGATGTATTGGGATAGCTTAGCCTTGCGGGTAGTCGAGCACCAAGACATCGAAACAACGATGGAGCTACCAGACGAGTTCCCGTTCAATTTGGACATGCGGGCACCCGCCCGGTATTTTTGGCTGCGTTGTACACACGCCAATTAAATGACGCGTATTAGGGTGGATGACGTTGACTAGCAGCACGTCTGCGACGGGGTATTCGATGCCAAAACTCATTCAACGATTCGACCGAGCCCCTCAACTGATTGCGGAACTGCGAGCGGTAAATTCCCTCTAGTGGCAGCGGTGCGTCCGACCCCGTCCATCACTCAGACGTCATTAATTATATTCGAGGTTGAGGAACTTCCCGCAGAAATTGAGCAGCTCAATTGTGCAGCCAGAATACAGCGGTGCGTGGTGCATTACCCCCGCTCCCCCTTCTCCTCACTCCATCTATGGATTCAGAGTCGTGATCCCCTTTTCTCATGTAAAAATGCAAGAGGCCTGGACACTGCGGACGCGGGGAATCGAACCCCAGTTAGCTGCTTGGATTCGCGTCAGGCCAGATATACGATGCAGATGTGCGCCATGCACCACGGCCGCTTGCTTTCTACCGCTCCAGCCCTGAATCTATCAAGGACTCAACAGGGACTTGTTATGTTATGAGGAGCACGAAATTCCGTGGATGAATCGAATGGACGGACCGGTCCTTTCTGCCTTCCATCTCGACTACGATTACTTGCATAAATCTGCCCGGGAGAAGCTCAGAAAAAAGCTGAATTATTAAGATTGGGATGAGGAGGAAAAAAGTATCCTTGCACCTGATAAGTGCCTCCGAGAGGAATCGAACCCTTTGTTTCCTCGTTGCAATCATTCTCGAGTTGTTATAGATTCGAGGTGGTCACCATGGTCCACGAAGGCTTTCCAGAGATACGCTGCGCTCCCTTGTATATTATGAAATTCTGTTCCGGTGCTGGTGCCTCAAAAATACGACATGGATGTCAGAAAATGCCTTGGGGAGGAATCGAGCCTCCTTCTCCTCATTATATGCGTAGTGTCTCTGTGTACAATCATTCGAGGTGACCGCCATGGTCCACGAAGGCTTGCCATTTAGCCTTAGCTCATTGTACAGTATATCCGTCCAGCCATTCGCTTCGACAAGGTAAAATCCAACCGCCGCCGCATGCCTGCGGGAGGAATTGAACCTCCTGTTCCTCGTCTGGATGCATATGAGAACTGCCAAATGGAGGCGAGGCGACCACCGTGATCCATGAAGGCTCTCCAGCTACGTTCCGTTCCCGTGTAGCAATATGAATTCTCGCAGGCCAGATATAAAAAGGCACCCGCGCGAGAAAAACGCGCATCCAGAAGGATTTGAAACGTACTAGGTACAAGATTGAATACATGATAACCGTGATCCTCGGAGGCTTGAAAGGCACCTGCCGTTCTTCCTGCAGGAGCATTCTCCTAGTCGCCCGAATACTGGTTAGGAAGCCTCTAGCCTTCTGTACCCTGTTAATTGTGGTTGAACTCCAGCGGACAGAGGGAAAAAAGTTCGAGCACGGAGTGAATGCCTTCGGAAGGAAGTGAACCTCCTTCTCCTCGTTAGATACATTCGTTGGGAAACTCAGTCATTGATTCAAGGGGATCACTATGATCCAAGATACATTTCTCCCCCTTCAAAGTGCAGCTCACGTCAGTGTGGGACGCAAAGCGAATACTCGCGATAAAGTGGGGGTAGGATGAAGAGCCAAGACAGTCGTGCAGGAGTCTACCTCGACAGGGAATTGGGCAGCATTTCTGTTGGATCCTGGGAGACTGGCCTGTTATGACCGGTACCCCCAAAACAATACCCAAAACAATATCTGCAGAATGACGCGCGCATCGCAATTCGTCCGAGGCCAAAAGGAATGTTAGAGCCCAGCAAGCGGTGGGGAGATTTCCAAGCCAGCGAAGCTGCACGGAACAGCGCGTCTCGTGTGACCCGCCAACCAGCGACGAGAACTGTGTCAAAAGACATACTGATACCGGTACTTCTAGTGGGGGATTCTGGCCGATCTGGGCGCTTCCTTGCAAGTCGGCCAGGACAAGTCCAGAAGATGGAGCGAGGGTTGTGATTGCTGTCGAGGCAGCTTGCATTTTAGAATCCCGAAAACCTGACATAAAGGTGTGGAGCAAGTGGAAGTTCCCGGCGGAGATTCAATTATCCGTTCAGAACACCGGATCTCATCATGCCGACGAGTCACGAACCACCGCATCCACTGTGACTTATGTGACTTGCCGCTCGACGACCCCACTCACAGTCCTGTGCAGTCTCAAAACCACGCCTGGAGATGGAAGAACCATCCAACCCCTTGCGTATCCAGGAGCTGGTAAACCAGTGCATCCGCTTCCTCTGCGATTCGATTCCCGATCTCAAGGCGTGCGCCGTGGTTTCTCGCTCTTGGGCAGGCGCAGCTCAGGCTTGTCTTTTCAGACGAGTCTCATTAGAAACCAGTAAATCGCAGCGCAGATGGTCTCTTCTCCAGGAGGCAATGCATATTTCCCCCCACCTCATCCGGCACATCCGCCAACTTCACCTCGACTCGGACGGGCTCTCGAACGAAACATTCTCAGGAATGTGCAATTTCCCATTTACACATTTGCAGGACGTCTCCATATTTATCCTATTTGGTCACAAGTTGTCCCTCCAAGGCGCAATCGATGTGCAACAGCTGCTCAGTCTGCCGACTCTTCGTCAGGTCACCATATACTTTGATTCTATCCAGCCGTCGGTCTTCTGGCCCATCTGGCAGCGCGCCTCTCCCAGTATCAGGCATATCAACATCGCTGGTGGCTGCACACATCCCAAAGCTATCCCACCCAATTTCCACGCTTCTACGCCACTCGTACTGGAGACACTGAACATGGAATGTGAAGGCAGCGTTGACTGGCTAAAACCCATCCCCATGGATTTATCGAGGCTAAAGGTGCTGTCCGTCGGCGAACAAATCCACGTAGTACGCTGGAAAGGGTTCACGCCTGCGCTTCGAACTATCGAAGCACTGAGCTTCAATCCCGGGGTACGCTAGCTTTTCAATATACGGACGAGCTCACATATTTCCACCCTCAGCCCAGTGGTAGCCTTGAGCTATCATCATTTCCACATCTGACAATGGTTCGCATTATAATCGTGGGACCGGACGCGTGGCCGGCGGTCCTCGCTGCCCTCGCCACGATCGCCCCAACGACTCGCATTCACACCATAATCCTTGGATCTTGGACGGTGGCTGCACCGCCGGAGCAGCTTGATGTTCTACTGTCGAATCTCGCAATGCCCCATCCACCTGCTATTTTGCTTGAGATGAAGCCTCTTCGATATTCCCGTTGGACGCCACACCTTCCCCGTTTAATCTCCAAAAAATTGGTGCGCCGGGCGTTTCCATGATAAGTCCTTGAGCTGACAGCTTTGTCACAGCTTTACCGCATTGATTACAACTCTCCATGGCTTGACGTACGTTCTTTAGTTTGATAGCCCGCCTCTCCGTGTCTTACTTCGGATCTTATAGTTCCCCGGCGTTGTGTAACAGTTTAGGACCGACTTCGAGATGTACCAGATATAACGACTGTTCCCGATTGTAGGCTCTTGTCGGGCACTTCCATTCCCATTGGCTGGTTTACAGTTCCAAAATACAGAAAAAGACTTTGTTACAACGTGGCTAACAGGCCACGCGTATTTTATCACATCTCCTCAATCCTCTGTTGGGGTTGGTCATCATCGTCCATCAGTCAGATTCTTAAAGGTGAGGCTTAGCGCACAGGACTTGCCTCGCACCATTGGTATTGTTTACTCGTCGTTCCAAACATCCCGGCTCCCTCCCCGCTCCACACGCAATTTCTGGAAACAGCACCGTACCTTTAGAATGGTGAACGGCCAAATTTGAAACTCGCAAGCCGAAGCCGGGTCAAATAAAGCTAGATACGACATCATCAAGCCGCCGGAATCCATCTCTCTCCTCTATCATCATCGATTTTGCGCGAGAACGAGTGGCTCAGGCTGCGGTTTTCACTGGCCTCCGCTCTGTATCCCATAAGCATCCCTATGGAGTAACGATGCTGGGCCTGCTCATCGGACATTGGAGACCAGCCTACGAAATCTTTTCATCGCTTCTACCAAACTTCTACTGATATTTCCCTTGGGACTTTTGCCCGACGTATCCACCCTCCGTACGGGGACCGAGCAGGTGCGGGCACTGGTTCCCACAAGTGTTGTCCCTGCGCGTATCATACTCATTTGTTTATTACTCGCTCAACACAGATTTTTTTTACCTTGAGAAGGAAGCGTCATCTACTATGACAGCCCGGGGCGGGCATTGCCGACCCATCGTTTTAAGGTCCTTTATGATAAGATCCCGGAAAATTGTAGGGCCCCACTCATTGGACAATGCTCACCCCCGCATTTCTCGTCTTGGCTCTCTTCGGCGCTGTGGGCCGTGTACGAAGATGTTGCTGACCTCCCTGGGTTGCAATATGACTTCGTGATTGTCGGAGGTACGTAACTCTCCCCAGGCAAAATAATCAGTCCCTGAAATTTGATGCCGCCAGGCGGAACGGCGGGAAACCTCGTCGCGAATCGCCTCACGGAGAACCCAAAGGTGTCGGTACTTGTGCTGGAGGCCGGCGGATCGTAAGCATATCTCAACCTCTCGGCCTGTGGGTGCTCATTTGATACTTGATTGCGCAGAAATGAAGGAGTTCTGGCTTCCGAAATCCCGTTCCTATTGAATGACCTCCTTGGGGAGAGCGTCTACAGTTGGAGTGCGTGAATAAGTACTGATACAATTTGTCGAATAACACAGGGTAGATTACACGACAATCCCACAGTACGGATTAAATGGCCGTGCAATGGCTTTCCCAGAGGTCAGTGCAGACGTGTGCACAAAATGAGGGACTAAACATCGTGTCATCAGCGTACATACTGGGAGGATGCAGCGCCCATAGTGAGCTGCCTGCTGATTGCGCTTGACCACCGCGTTAACCCGGACAGACGGGATGGTATACACACACCCGTGGCGCCGCAGACGAATTCAACCGCTACGCAAAGTTAACTGGCGACGAGGGGTGGTCTTGGGATCAAATGCTTCCCTATTTTCTCAAGGTACCGCATTCGAATATTGATTAGTTTTCGAATTGACTGGTGCCGACAGCAAGAAGCGTGGACGGAACCAGCTGACCAGCATGATACGCTCGGCCAAATCAATCCTACTGTCCATGGAACGGATGGGCCCATCTCTGTCAGGCTGAACGGCTTCCCCTGACCGGGCTTCAAGCAAAATGTCATGCAGACGACGGAGGAGATGTCAGACGTGTTCCTGTTCAACTTGGACATGAACTCTTGGCAGCCATTAGGCGTCTGTACGTTGTATGCTCACATTCTCGATCCATAATTGACCTGAGAACCAACGTGGCTACAATCTACTATTAGGGGTGGGGATACCCCTATCCATTAAAAAACCATTCCCTGGTGGATCGTGCTCAAAACCTACGCCGTCGCCAGCGCGCCTGGCTGGATTTCACCTGCCGCACCATCGCTGTGAAACACGTTCTCGCAGAGGTCTACGATC